AGATACTTCTTTCACTGCATATGAAATGAGTCTTCTCCATATTCTCAAGGTTCCGAGGAACCATACACGTATGGCAGCTGCCAAGTCACTCCCGGAGCAATATCTTTGCTATCTTGCTGTTACCAAAGCTCTTAATGACATGCGCCACGTCAAGCAGTGGCCTGAAAAACCACCTACTGAGAAGCAGGTTACTGAGCTTTTTATTGGAAAAAGCCAGTGGAGCAATGTTTGGTGTCCAACCTTCAGTAGAGTTTCTCAGCACTTTCCAGAAATGGTCAAGTGGCTTCAAGGTGATGCTGACAGCAAGGACACAATGGAGCTTTGGGGAATAGAGGCAAAGTATACTCTTAAGATGTTGAAAGAATGGATGGAACAAGGTGGGAAGCCTTTAAAGGGAAAGGCTAAGATTGTTGAAGAACCTGTGGCTGAAAGCTCATCGAAGGGACTTGGAAAGGAGAAGGAGAAGGAGAAGGAGAAGGATAAGAAGAAGAAGAAGAAGAAGAAGTCAGAGAAATCAGATGAGTAAGTTGGGATAAGATTGTTACATATGTGATTTTTTGGACATAGATATCTAATCTTTGACTGTGAAATTTTTCAGATACTTAGTGAAGCCTCTTGTGATGGTTGTCTCAACTTTAGTCTGGCTGCTGTTATGTCTTGCACTCCAACTTTTCATATCAGTCACTGGACCAACAGCAGCAGCATTCATAAATGTCCTTTTTCTTGCTGGACTTTCTTTAAAATCTTATACATTGGTTACATCACCAATAAGCTGGCTGCTTGTATGGCTTGCATTTGTTCCTTGTGTATTGGCCACAGGGTCAACAACAACACCCTTTCCTAATATCCCATTTCAGGCTTTTAGTCAATTTATTTTGACTACATTCAACCCTGAAATCTCACTTGGAACTGTCCTGCTTGTCTTTTTTTCACTAGTGGAGAATCCAGACTTGCTCAATTTACATGCACGTCAGAAGCATCCAAAGCTACCAAATGAGAAGAAAATCATTGCATCAAGTTGGATGAAATCACTAGGTCGTGCATTAGATGAACGACTTGATTCAGATGTCTCAATGCTTTTTCAACCAAATGAATTTATACCAAATTCATGGGAAACCCCATTAGCTCTTAAACTTGATGCATTTTCAGAGTTTCTTGGACTTACACCTTATAAACAAGGTGTTTTCAACAAAAAGTTACAGAAAGTTTCCCTAAAGGCAATTGAACCCATTCAACTGATTTGTCCTATTGACATGGAGTGTACAACTGCCTCATGTAAATTTCGACACATTGGAGTATATACTCGTCAACGTGATATACCTTTGGTGACTTTGATTAAAGGGTCCTCAATTCTTAAGAATGTTGCTGCATTGACTGGAGAATGTACAACATGTCGCTCAATGTATTATGCTGACCATCAAATACATCATAATAGAGGCAGTCAGACAGAAATATTTCTGAACTTGGCTAAATACCTCCAAATTGGAAGCAATATTTGGGTTGACACAGTCTTTTCAAATGCACTATTGAATGGCATGTACTCATTTCATGCATCTGCAAACACCTATACACAGTATTGGAACAATAGCTTTGGAGTTATTGACTCTGACAACACATTCAAAATCAGTCGAAAACAAGTTTGGCAAGCTTTTGTGCAGCATTCTATTAGAGAAGTGGCTTCAATTTCAAATACAACATATGAAACCCAACCTAACATTGCTATTGATGACCTTACTCAACATGCATTTGCTGTTCTTGGTAAAAATGGTGAAATACCAGGTGCAAGAGAACATACTTGTTCTGAATGTACTAAACCATTCAAACGAACAATGCAGGATACAGAGCGCATTCCAGGTACACTTGATGTTAATATGTTAACTTTGGATGGTGTTGTTATGGGTCCACAGGTTTGTTTATTCAACTCAGTTTGGTTGTAATTTAATATTGATTCTCTGCTTAGATTTGTGCTTTTGATGATTGCACCAATGACCTTCTCAATGCTCGTGGTGGTGCACTCTGTGCAACACATGAAGCTTCACTTGCAAATAAATGTCGTGTGGTTGGCTGTTCTAAAGACAAAATTCAAGGAACACAAGCTTGTGCTGAACATGTTGCTGACTGGAAGAAAAGTATTCATGATCGCAGTAAAGCCACCATTAATGGTATTTGGCGTGTTCTTCAACGTCCTGGTGAACAACAAGAGTGGCAAAATGTCCCTGATGCTGCTATTCAGCGGCCACATGATGATGAGGTTGAGACTGAAAATCCTCAACCCACAATAAAACGAAAGACCTATTTCTCACCCAATCGCTCAGATTGTGTTGAAATTGCATGGACCAAATTTCCAAAATCTGAATCTCCAACTAACATTCTTAATTGGTTTGATGAATTGTTTCCCAACAAGGAAGATCGACCTTCTTATATATGCATTGACAAAGCATGTCAAGTTTTCAAAACAGCTGTTGGAAGTGAGAGATGGAAAGACTGGACAGACACAACTCGTTTTATTGTTGACACATATCACTACAACAATCACCGTGCCACAGATGAAATTTGTCGGAAATGGTGTAATCCTGCACCAAAAGATGGTAGTGCACCAAATCTTGTGGGAGAAACAATTGATGAGGATGGCAATCTTATTCAATGGAGAGAATTTAACACTCAAGTCTGTGAACAGCTTAATGCATGGCTTGCTGGTTATGAATCTATTTTGAAGTGAATGACATCTCAAAATTTCAATTGGTTTATACATACTATGCTTGTTTACCATGTCAAGCATGTGCTTGCCAAGATGACATCTATGGAAGATGATGAATCAGCAGATGAAGAAAGCAGTGATGAAGAAAGCAGTGATGAAGAAAGGAGTCATGAGGAAAGCAATCAGGAGGAAGAAATGGATTCAAAAAGTGAAAGTGGTTCAGGTTCAGACAATGATGATGATAAGGAAAGTAGTTCTACAAATAGTACTGATCATGATATGCATCTTTCAGATTGAGTTTCAATAGGAGTAGTTTGTGATAAATCATTAAAAATGTATTTCACAATGCTAGCAAAATAGCATATAGTTTGGTAGAGTCCAGTTTTGTGTTAGTAGAGGCAGAGGTGGAAGGGATTGTATTATAAGGCTGCCTAAAGTGTTGAAAGTAGCTGGCAGTCCAGTGGAGTCCAGGTTTGTATTAAGAGTAGCTAGCAGTTCAGTGGAGTCCAGTGGAGTCCAGGTTTGTGTTAAGAGTAGCTGGCAGTCCAGTGGAGTCCAGGTTTGTATTAAGAGTAGCTAGCAGTTCAGTGGAGTCCAGTGGAGTCCAGGTTTGTGTTGAAAGTAGCTGGCAGTTCAGTGGAGTCCAGTGGAGTCCAGGTTTGTGTTAAGAGTAGCTGGCAGTCCAGTGGAGTCCAGTGGAGTCCAGGTTTGTGTTGAAAGTAGCTGGCAGTCCAGTGGAGTCCAGTTTTGTACCAGTCTGTAGTGAAGTCTCAATATATAGTGAAGTCCAGTGGAATCCAGTGGAATCCAGTGGAGTCCATATGGATTATGTGGGGGATGGTAAAGTACTGACTATGGAGTCCATTTGGATTCCATATGGAATGGACCATTCCATAGACATTCCATGTAGTGTCCATGCGGATTCAATTTATATTGCAAATCCATGTACTATTCCATAGAGATTCCATGGAACAGTTCACATGGATTCCATGGAACACCATCATACCATCAGAATACATATAAATAGTTGTATTTATAGTGTTTTTACTAATTTAAATAAAAAGAAATATTTGCCTAAGAGAAGAATTGAACCCTCAACATCTTCAACAATATGAGTGCTGAAGCCCACTGAGCCACGAAGGCTTTATTACATGTAAAACAAAGTGAATATATAACCCACCTTCAGCCCTCATCCTAAATGCACCACCTGTGGCACAAACAATGCCACATCATGTCTTGCTTCCCACTACCATCATCCACGGCACCCACCACCATTGACCACAATGAGCACCCACCATCGACGACGCTGACTGTGATGCCGACAACGCCACATCATTGACAGGGCCCAGCCCAGGTAAGTGAGAGCA